TAAAATACGATATCTAAATTTCCAATGAGGCCACTTGTAATCCAAAACACCTATCAATATTTTTTCCAACACAGTAAAGAGATTAAAAACCTTTTTTAATTGAAAATATTCCCACCTAAGGATATTTTAAAAGAAATATACATATTATGATGCATCAGCGCGCCATCTGTTATGAATATTTGAAACTATTATAGACGCCTATGATTCTTTTGAAAATTAAACAATTTCTACTGCGCTTACTGCAATTGAAAAATTAATGGGAGGGCCTGGCTCATCAGTGGTGAACCCTCCCAGCGGTTTCGCCAGTTTAATCTTCCATACCGCTGTTATATTGTATTTTTTGGAACTTCCTTTTATAGTGAGCTTGAGCTGGATTCTTGGAATGGGTATTTTAGATGAACTATGGACATAAGCTTTGAGGACAGCACAATTTCATACTAAAATAAATATGAAAAAACAATAGAAAAAAATAAAAGATAAGCGGGTCAGGTGTTGATATTAAAAATAAAGAAGGCATCTCCTGACCACAAGCACATGTGCTTTTTAGATGGCAGAGCGCCATCTAGTGGAGTAAAAATAAACTAAACGTTTATTTAGCTTACTCCGAGATAGATTTACTCCACTAGATGGCGCTCTGCCATCTAAAAAGCACATGTGCTTGTGGTCAGGAGATGCCTTCTTTATTTTTAATAATAAATATATAAAATATGTAATGTGTGTGACTATATTTTATGTTTAAATATAGGGACGAGTTCAGAAATATATTAGGTTATTTATCTGAATTCGACATCACAAATTTATCAATTAAACTATTTATTGTAATGTGTCTTAGTTGTATTATATTAGGTATTTGTCTCATAATAGAGAGAGAAACAATAAGTAGAAATCTGATCTAAAAAAAGATTCATCTATTTTTAACATTCACAACCCAAACTCGAAATATTATCTGATTTTGTGTGTGAAATGTTTTGGTTAATTCAAAATGAGTATCTTGGCATATGTTCAGCAAATTTTACTTATTTAAAAATTTTTTGAAAATTTATTATATTTACATATTCTATTAATAGAGACATTTTCGAATTTTAAAGAAAAAAATATATATATATATATATTACTGAAAGATCTCTCTCTGTAAATATTTTTCATTTCATATATATATCATGAAATAAATTTTGTTTATTAACTTTATTAACATCCTATTACGCGATATCCCAAACTCAGGGATATTTGCGTCAATACATTTCTTTACATCATATCAAATTGGCTATATACAAAGAGAAAGGAGAAAAAAGACAAACATATACAAAGGCAATTCTCTCAAAATTTCCTTCACTCTCTTTCCCAGTTCAAATGATAGTTGTATATATAGCTACAAAATTGATTAAAATTTTTATATGTTCTTTTCTCATCTACGAATTCGTGTAGCTGTTCGATGCCACCAAATTTTCTTTCCCTATAATCCTGGAAAATTGCGCATTCCATAAGTAGATTGTTTTAAAATGTATTACTTAGTATCTATAGTTCTTTAGTCATGCATAACATAGCTGTAGAAGGAAAAACGAGTGTTTGGGTTTTCTAATATAATTTTATCAAGTTTCAAAAGCTTCTTTTTATCTATTTGATCTTTTCTCTTTAAATCAATTACCATCTTCCAAATCTATTAAATATACTAGTCTTTATTTTTGGCAAATGCCTTTTTTTATCTAACTGCAAGGGTAAATTCAGTAATTTATAAAAATAATTCTTTGTCTAGAATTAGAAAATTTGTTAAAGTCTTTTCTCATTACCTCAGAGAAATAGGGGAATATTTATTGTTGGAACTAAAAACCTCTTCTTCATAAAATTATTTATTTATATCTCATACACACACAAACTTTATTTGCACGAATACCTTTTTCAAATCATTAGTTGGTTTATGTATTCAATAATTTTTGAAAATAGTTTGATGAATCCTTGACAATAGGTTGTTGTGACTGTTAGTGTAGTAGGTGTTTAAATAAAATTGAGATATGACTCGAGGTTATATGCTAGTGGAGTTTATTTGTACGTCTCTCCTTAGCGGGGAAGTCTGTCGCAGTTTTCGAAGGAGATCTTCTCCAGCTCCTTGACGGGCAGGTCCTTGGACTTGAGTTCGGAAATGATCTTCTGGTAGTCCTGCTCACTGAGGTCGTGGAACTTCTCCTGGTGAATCAGCACGCGCAGTTGGGCTGGAACACACGGGTGTTATCTCAACTTGAACTGGTTTATATTTTCAAATACAAAAATAATCTTTTTCAGTCGACAAAGCTTCTTTTCCATATTGCGATTTAACTAGTAAAAAAATAAAGTTTTTAGAATAATATTTTTATTAATATCCACGATATTTAAAATGACAAGAATGTGAATATTTGATGGAAAATTATATTTTCAAATATATACTTGTAGTTTTTGTAACAGGCTTAACAGATATATTATTGGTACCTGAACACACAATATTCAAGAAATTTTAGTATAATATTAAATAAAACCTATAAAAATTATTTCAAAAACGTTTTCGGGTTAAGTATATAAACATTTATATTCTTTTTAATTATCATTTCACAGAACAAGGGCTTCTCTGCTACCACCTATTATCTGGTGTTATGAATGATAGCGATGTAGTAAGCAATTATTAATTATGGGCGATAAAAGCAATACTATAGTAAGAAGAAGTGTGGATTTACCGGCGTAGAGGAGGGGCCTCTCGGTACAGGCCCACAGGACCATGTGGGACTTGGGCTCGTATTCCACAATCTTGTACTTGATGGTGATGGGGGTGGCGTCTGTACATAATTTAAGTCGCTTAGGTTATGGTGGTCAAATATAAAATACAGTAGAAGCACTATAATACAATTTGAGAAAAGTTATTCTATATTTTCATTATAGATTTTGATATATATTGTATGATTATGAATTTTATTAGTGTTAAAAAAAAATAATAATAATAACTTTTTCAATAGAATACAGTAGTGAGCGATACCATGAATTCTTTCAATAGAATAGTGAGCTATGAATAATTTCACCATTTGATATATTGTTATACCAAAATATTAATTCTTCGCCTAAGTGACTTCGAAAATTTCCAGAAAATCAATTTTGTCAAAATTGTGTCAATATAATCATATCATATTCTAAGGTAACTCATTAAAGTGATCAAACAAATTATTGCATATTTGCATTTTGCTTAACAAATATTCTGTTTTGAAGAATTCTTTGTATGTGTGTGCCTGTTTTTTTATACTCCATAAACGCATGATAACAACTCTAACGTATATATATACTTAGTTGTATCTGAAAATATCAATTATTAAACATATTTAGGTTTCTTAATAATAAGGATCTACCAGCACTACTACATGCAAATTGGTTTTTAAAAATATAAACCATCTGGAAGAAATTTCAAGTCATTTTAGGTTAAAATTGTTATCTTAAATAAGATCTGGAATAGTAAATTTATAGTTAAGTACCTTCGTAAGCATATAACCATTGTCCAATGTCTAGGGTTGTTTGGCTTCTATGGAATATCACTCAGAAATCTGAATTACTCAAATTTTACTTGTTTCGGGGTAGCAAGCGCAAAATTTACATATTTATAAAGTTTGCTAGAATACTTCTGTTTAAGATAGTGCATTTATGAATGTTATTTGATTATGGAATCTCCTAAGTTCATCATCTGCATAGAAAAGAGACACTTCAAAATAATCAGAGCGATAACCCAGCAGAACCTACAGTCACGAGAATATTCGGGGTGATTATCCAGGTGGACACGGAGGTTTTTGTTGAGCTTGAAGTAGGGGAGCTTCTCATCGACGAGGGTACCATTGGCCTCGACTCTCATCGGGGCACTGAGGCAAACATTGAACATTCTGAGTACATCTTCAGGGATAGTGGAATGAAGTTTGTTCATCAAGGATATGTTATATACATATTAAACTTATGAAATATGTTTGTAGTTCAATATTGCATTTGGAGAGATCATATATTTTATTTTTTACCAAGGTAAATTATATACTTTATTCTAAGTGTCTGAGAATAATTTGAATAGGGAAAAGGTTCTGCTATGTCTAAACAGATTCTAAAATTTAATTGAATGTTAAGCAGGATAATTTTGTTACTGGACAATCGCTTTTTATGCATCTAATAGAAAATATTATATTAAAATATAAATAATTATTAATTATATATTGAAAATTTTCAAAGGGTGTATACATGTTTCAAAATTTGTGGCGTGAGTCAACTATACAAACTTACTCGAAAGCCTGACCATAGGAATAGAAGTTGAGCTTGTTGGAGCCCATGGTGGTGATGTTGTTGACCAGGCAGCGGACATCTTCGATGAAGTCAAAGGTGGTATGGGCATACTCAAACCATTGGGCGTCGAGCTACAATACCACAAAACCATGTTATAAAATACTCCAATAACAGAAGTAATCATCTTACAGTAATTATATTTAGAGAAGTCACTATATTACACTTTAGAAACTATCGAATATGAAGGTATTCTGCTAATTTCACTTTAGAAACTATAATATTCCAACTCTCATTTCACTTTAGATATAAAAATATTGAGCGAGGTCACCACGTTCTCACTTAAAAAAAAAACTGGAGATTCTCTATATTGATTTATAAAAAGGCGCTAATATTAGAAGAGAGATATTTATATTTCACTTTAAAAATAACACCACTTAGCAAAATTTGATCATTTGTTAGTTAAAAGTTGATTAAAATAAACACTGCCACATCAACCAAAAATTTATTCAACTCCTGACGTTTCAGTGACCTGCTCTTATTGTCACATTCCCCAAGAAGAATGATTTTTTACACTCTGCAAAATATTTATAAAGCTTTATGTAACAGAAGTTATACCTTTCTGAAGCCAGTATCAAAGTATGGTTTTAAAATAATAATTTACTCTAATTTTCCTCCTGTTCCTAGAGTTCCAATCTCGCCAATAAGTAGAAGTAAAAAAACTAAACTCCCATGTGGTCTAGTGGCTAGGATATCTGGCTTCCATCCAGAAGGCCCAGGGTTCGATTCCTTTTTTTTTAACTCCGCCTTTGCTGGCCCTCGCCTAACAAACTCGCTAAAAAACCTGGGCTCAGCTGGCCCGGCTGATAGTACCCCCGTAAGGGCTCCTGATCCAGGGATACAGGATGAGCAGCGTTTGTACTCCATGTTAGGAGCGGCTGCACATGGCGTCTGTTCTTCATGTTAGAGGCGGCCATTTTTTTTTTTTTAGCTAAGTCGTTCTGCCACTGAGTAGTGTTCCCAGTTTTAATGACAAAGGGTGATGTTTTCTACCCTTCCCAGTCATGGTGGTTGTCAAAAGCTTCAAGCTCTATAAGCTTGATACCCTGATATGATTGAGTGAAGATAAGAAAGAAGAGAAGGTGAAACATCAGGTTTCCAGAAATGTTTCATTTTAAAATATAAAATCAAATCTCTTGATTTCAGGCACGAAAATCCTTCTACTGATGAAAACACAATACAATATAAATTCTAAGTGCAAAGTTGAGCTACTCTTCATGTCCAGTCATGTGGTGCACATAGAGAATAGGTAATCGCAAATTCATCTATTATGATAATCGTGTTCTCTTTCATAAGTATACTTATTCATACATGAAGCAATTTTTTTGTTGTTTCAATTGAATTTTATATTAGATCCCCCACTCCTAGAAAAGAATTCACCTTTCAATCTATGATGTAGCGAGATTGTACTCACGGAGTCGTAAGACACGGAAACTTCCTGGTCGTCGATACGAGGGCAGGAAGGTGTGGAGGCCGCAGCGGCTCCCAGGGCGAGGAGGGTTAAGAGAAGGACGTACATTGTGGTGTGGGGATGGTCCTGTGGTGTCGGCATTTATAGCAGACGGTAGTGTGTGGGCGGAGAGAACAACAACATTGTTTGGCTGCCTCAACACCACCTCGCTGACAATAGGAACATAGGAAATGTAATCGATTTCTTTATATATTAATTAAACAAGTCAATAAGTCCCAGGAGATTAGTTTATTTTTTCTTTTTATAGCCAACTCTATCTTCGGGTATCGTAGTTCTTCTACAGGAGTACAAATATACAATCACACCGTTAGATAACTGTTATACTTGTATATATATATATTATATAATCTAAAATACAATTATTTTATTTTTTAAAAACATATTTTATTTTCATTCATTGACTGTTTTACATATTTGACCATAGATTCAAAAACATACCACTTTAATTATTATTGTTGTAAATATTGTATAGTTAACCCTACCTTTTTAAATTAAAATCACGATTATAGAATTCATTGTATAAATTCTATATTGCAGTGATAAATAATTTTATGTGTATTTTTACTCCAAGTAATTCAAAATAAAATCTACTTGAAAAGTAAATAATTATCGTTACTTTTTCACGACTGCACCTCTTTTCAACAACAAAACACAAAAAATAATTCTAATCTTAATATATATATGTCATAATGTATGTTCTTCCAGGAATAATAAAGTAAACCTACAGTAAACCAGAGAGAGACGTAGGTGGAAGGTAGCTGAAGTACGGCCATTTTGGGCCACTGGTCACATTCCGGGGGGGGGGGGGGGGGGGCTTTTCTTGGAACCTCAGGACTATTTTTGGACAGTCGGGGGGTGGTGTGCGACACAAACGGTCGTTCAGCGGTGGCAGCCGCTCGCGCTCCCCTCTCTCGCTGGTTGCCTGGAATTCCTTTTCCAAACTTGTGGTTTCCTTATTTCTCTCTCCCCACATTATTATCATATTGCCACATTGAAAGTCGACAGGATCATATCACAGAAAGAGTCGACAGGATCATATCACAGAAGAGTCGACAGGATCATATCTCATATATATATATATATATATGTTTGGCCTGATTTTTGAATATTGGCATTAAATTTATTGAGATGATTATTATTTTTATATTACTTTATTATATCTTGAGTGTTCGATTATTGGTTGAATTTGACTTATTATTTTGTAGTTATATTAAAAGATTGAGTTCTATATTATTAACATATGCTCAAATATAATTTTAATATATAACTGTAACAGTTTATAAGAATATACATGATAAACATATAATATCAATAAAAAAATTACAAAAGTCATTTGTGGAGAATAAATTTATAGTAAAACTCTAGTTTACTCACATAGATTTTATAGAGAGAGAAAATATGGTTTACAGGCTACTAACCAAAGTGTATGATTTTCGAGCCCAAAAAATGAACGTAGCAAGCAGACAAACCGAAATGCATTGTAGCAAAGTACCAAAGTTTTTCATGCCCCAAAGTTGTTCAAAATATGTTAGATTCCGCAGGCCAGGGAAGATAAATGAGAAACAAGTGTTGATTAGAGATAAGAAGATTAAATAAAACGGGCATCATTCACCAGGTGCTTGGGAAAAGATAAAATAGATTTTAGAGAGAAAGAGAGAGTGTATATATATATATAAATGAAATATTAAACTCAATTGAAATAAATTGGGTCAAAGAAGCATAGATATTGGAGTGAAAAGACGCTTATGGGAAAAGGGTTCAAGGTATGTTAAACTGTAAAATATAAAATACTTGCGTATAGAATGTTTGTGTGTGTGTGTTACAACTTGAATTATCAATTATAATTAAGGTGAAAACATCCGGCTTCCAGACATATAGGTATATATTTTTTAAATTTTAATTCAAATCTATAGCTTCATCAAGAATCTATTTCTTCAGATTTGAATAGGACATGAAAGCCCTTCTACAGCTGAAAATACAATACAATAAAACATTCTATATTAAAACGTCCTCTGTTTATTGATATTTTAGCAAATTATTTATTATTTTATTAACAGAGTATCATTTTGATGTTTATTTTTTTCTACTCTGTAAACTTCCTTCATTGCTTATCTTTTTTATCATTCATAGTCTGAAAAAATAGTACAAATGTGATATAGTACTGGGATAAGGTTCATAAATTATGAAAAAGGCATCTCCTTATCGTGTAACTGAAACTAGCTATCAGCAACTTTCAGTTACACGATAAGAAGATGCCTTTTTCATTCATACTCTGTTCTTGTCTTAAATAAATTGCTGTGTCATCCTGAAGTTTGTCTTTCCTAATTTTCCATGTGGCAATATATATATACAACACTATCAATTTAGAAATTTATAATTATTCAAATTTCGCCTCAATATAGTTTTTTAAAAACCAGTCAAATATCCGTTTCTCGCTCGAGAACTAGATCGTTTTTTTTTCTTTTTATAACGATTTGCATTTTTTTTTTACAAGTTTTAAATCTAGCCAACTATTTTCTAGCGCAATTTCTATTTTATTTTATATTATAAAACATATACAGTAGATATTCTATTTAGAATCTGTTTTCATATCTATTATCTCTTTAGTGTATATACCTTTTGGGAAAATTAACATCTGTGCTTAGAGTGGGATGTCCTATCCATACACACGGAAATATTTCACCTCTATATATATAATTAAGAAAAAGGCATCTCCTTATCGTGCAACTGAAAGTTGCTGATGGCTTGCGCCATCTATCGGAATAAATATCGACTATTCTCGTTGATTTTTAATTATTCCAGAATTGGCCAAATACCCATTCTTGATTAATCAAGAAAAGCTAACTGCGGACGCGTTTCGGGCTGTTGGCCCTCATCAGCGTGGTGCAAGCTGTACCTCAACGACCAAAAAACTGGTCATTTAGGCATCCTGAAAAATCATGAAACGGGTAGTTAAGGCCAGAATTGCGTGAGTACGTTTCATGTTTTTTCAGGATGCCTTAATGACCAATTTTTTTGTCGTTGAGGTACAGCTTGCACCACGCTGATGAGGGCCAACAGCCCGAAACGCGTCCGTGGTTAGCTTTTCTTGATTAATCAAGAATGGGTATTTTGCCAATTCTGGAATAATTAAAAATCAACGAGAATAGTCGATATTTATTCCGATAGATGGCGCAAGCCATCAGCAACTTTCAGTTGCACGATAAGGAGATGCCTTTTTCTTAATTTATGCACCTTATCCCAGTACAATATTACATTTGTACTATTTTTTCATATATATAATTAATGCGGATTTTCACTGTAGGGAAGCCTACGTTTCTATTTTTGGGCGAGTTTAAGCGAAGTCTATGATTGTACAAGTAAGATGTCTGTTTTATGTGATTATTTTACTCTTTGTTATAATAAAAAATGTATATATAATAATTGAGAAATTTTAATTTGTTTTATATTATATTATCCCATTGTATAAATATACAAGGTCATGGAGCCTAAATTCATAGATAATATTCACAATCTTGGATAGGGTGGGAATATAGGTCCTGTCTTGAGGCTTCCATGCATTCTAAGAGGTAGTCTGGTGAGGCCTCTTTGGTCCTGCAGATGTTGCATTGTGGGAAGGTTTTTACACCATCCTGGAAAAAGAGCGGTCTTGTATGACCAGTTTTGAGGCTGGAAATACAGGTAGCTGCTTATAGGTTCATTCCACATTCTAGAATAATTCCAGGCTTTTGGTTCATATACCAATGATGAAACCCATCAATTCGTTTTGTTATTAATTTAACATATGTAAATTTATTTTTGTAAAAGGTAATATTTTTAGTAGGAAAATTTTGCATACTTTGATTTGTGTATGTATATCGTTCAGTTGATTGTATCTAATCTTTCAGCAGACATGATAAGGCTAAATTTTGTAGAGATGTCTTATTTTTGCTGTAACATTAATAAATTAATTAATATTTTGTGAAATAAAAGAAAAATAGGAATCTTCTTGCACTTATATAGAAACTTAAAAAGGTAACTATCCTCTGTACAACAATGGCCTCATTGATCATTAAATGTGTTTTATAGGTATCAAATAAATGGTAGATAATCACAAAGTTGTGTAATGAAAAAGTAACTTGGTGGCAGCGATAGAATAAGAAATTTAAGAACGTATGCAAGTAAATACGCGTAAAAAAGCGTTAGACAAAATATACAATAATATTTTAATAAATTTCCCTTATATATATTCTTCACATCAATTTTTGTATCAATCTGACAACTCCTTCTTGG